TTTTATTTATTTATTTGAGAGAGAGAATGAGATAGAGAGAGAGAGCATGGGAGGGGGGAGGGTCAGAGGGAGAAGCAGACTCCCTGCCAAGCAGGGAGCCCGATGCGGGCTCGATCCTGGGACTCCAGGATCATGACCTGAGCCAAAAGCAGTTGCTTAACCGACTGAGCCACCCAGGCGCCCCTATTTTTAAAAATTTTTTAAGATTTTATTTATTTAAGAGAGAGAGAGCATGTGCATGAGAGAGAGTGAGAGAGAGCGCGTGAGAGAGCAGGAGCAGGGGCAGGAGTGGGGACAGAGGAAGAGGGAGAAGCAGGCTCGATCCCAGGACTCCAGGATTATGACTTGAGCTGAAGGCAGATGCTTAACTGAGCCACCCAGGCACCCCCTAAAATTATATTTATATAAATATATTTATATAAATATATAAATATATTTTTAATTTATAAATTAAATTATAAATTAAAATTATATATTTATATAAATATATATATTTAATTATAGTCACAGCTGACTAGTGGCTACCATAGTGGAAGGTGCAATTCTAAAGTATTTTTCAGTAAATATTTGTGCAATTGCCACAAAGAAGCTATGTCACATAATAAAGTGGCAGGCAAAGTGGTTGCTGAGTTGTATGTAGATAACCTTAATTTGCCAAAAAAAAAAAAAAAAATCAACTCAGTAGGGGGTTGCATTCTCTGTAGAAAGTTTAAAAACAACAAAAGCTGTCTAAAAGTCTGTTTTTATTACCATTACAAGTTGACAGTTCTAAGCAATGTCAGTTATAGAGTACTCCTCTCTGCCAGAGTGGACTGCAGTGGTTTCTGCTCTGCCCCCTTGGTATACCAGCTCTTCTCCACAATACCTCACATGTGTACAAGGACAAAAGAAAATCAAATGGATTAGTGTATGTGATGGCTATTAGAGCTATTCACAAATACATGGTTCTTCCTCTCCTTCCAGGCACATGGTAAAATTTCATTTCCTTACCCTTGATCTCAGACTTCCTTCAGAAAATCTTCTGAGCAGAAGCACTAAAAGCCAGGGCATGCTATACTGTACTCTCTTTGTCCTTTGCCATGGCCACACGGCAATATTCCAGATAACGGCTACTCTAATAGCCTGGGTTCTGGAGAGAGGACCATGATGAACCTTCAGTGAACATGTAGTATGTGCAAGAAATAAACCTTCATTATTTTAAGCCACTGAGATTTGGTGGAATGTTTGTTACTATAGCTTAATCAAGTCTCCCTTACTGATACAATATACCTACTAATATCCCTTAGCAATTTCAGAATTTAGAGATGAAACCAGAGCTCAGAATCAGAAGGATAAAATGAACAGTTGAGTTTCCAGAACTTATTCTACAGAAAGTTACCTTTAAGAATATTTTTTTATTCCAGTATAATTAACATATAGTGTTGTATTAGTTTCAGGTGTACAAGATAGCGATTCAACAATTCCATACTCAATTCTCATCACGATACGTGTAATCTTAATCCCCCTCACCTATTTCACCCACCCCACACCACCCACCTCCCCTCTGGTAACCACCAGTTTGTTCTCTGTATTTGAGTTTGGTTTTTTGTCTCTTTTGCTCTTTGTTCATTTGTTTTGTGTCTTAAATTCCACATATGAGTGAAATCATATGGTATTTATCTTTCTCTGACTGACTTATTTCCCCCTAGATCCATCCATGTTGTTGCAAATGACAAGATTTCATTCTTTTTTTTATGGCTAAATATGAATATTTTTTATGGCTGAATAACATTCCATTGTGTGTATGTATGTGTATACATATAACCTCTTCTTTATTCATTCAACTATCAATGGACACTTGGGTTGATTTCATATCTTGGCTATTGTAAATAATGCTACAATAAACATAGGGTGCATCTATCTTTTCAAATTAGTGTTTTCATTTTCTTTGGGTAAATACCCAGGAGTGAAATTTCTAGATCATATGGTAATTCTATTTTTTAATTTTTTGAGGAACCTCCATACTGTTTTCCACAGTGGCTAGACCGGTTTGCATTCCCACCAACAGTGCATAAGAATTCCTTTGTCTCCACACCCTCCCTAATGCTTCTTGTGTTCCTGTGTTATTTTAGCCACTCTGACATGTGTGAGGTGAAACCTCATTTTGATTTCCATTTGGTATGCCCATGACTTTGCCTCTGCCACACTCACAAGTGCAAAAATGAAACTAGGTAAGAATACCATTTTTCCTATCAGACTGGCAGAGCAGAATCTCTTTGCCAATACATAGTTTTTAACTCTGCCATTCTACTTCTAGGAATTTATCCTACAGATAAACTGAGATATATGTAAAAAGTTTCCGTTAAAAGCAACAGATTGGAAATAATTTTAGATGTTCATCAGAAAGGGCCACATCAAATTATGATGCATCCATGATGTAATATCATGCAGTCATAACAAAGAATGAGGAATATCTTCATGAAGTGATACAGAATAAGCTCTGATATGTAACTAAATGAAAAAAATCTATATATTGACATTTGGGTAAAAGAAGAAAGTGTTTTTTGTACATGTATGAAAGAATCTCCTGATGAAAATCCAAAAAACTGATCAAATCGATTGCCTCCAGAGGGGACCTGAGACTTTTACTGAAGGGAGACTTTTACTGTCAACCTTAATTGTACCTTTTGAATTTTTAGCCATGTCAATGTATTACCTAGTCGAAATTTGAACTTAATCTTATTGTGAGGATGAATTCAGCCACTTTGTGACCTTGAGCAAGTTGCTTCTTTTTTGTCTGTGTGCTCATCAGCAAAAGGGAGTTAATATTAGTACCTGCAGTTATGGGTTGTGAGAAACCAATTGCTCTATTTCTAAGAAAATTTTAATTGATTTGGGTATGTTTTAATCTCACTGATCTAGAATTAATGCAAACAGAACAGCTTGTTGGATTGTCAGGGAAAGCCTCTTAAGGTGACATCTAAGAACTGGGAGTTTTCTCATAAAGACATTAGGAGAGTGCTTGGCTCATCTGAGGAACAGCAAGGAACCTGCCATATCAAATGAGGACAGCAGTAGAAAATGAGTCCAGTGGTGAGAAGAGTATAAAGATCATGGATCTGGGACTTCAGCTTCCAGTACTGGTATGACAACACTTAAAAAGCTACAGTATGGAGAACAAACTATAGGGTAGCAAGAATAGAAGCAAGCCCTTTTTGGAAAAAAGGAACACTGACATTTAGCCTGAACCCTCCCCCTCTTCTCCTTCCCAAACTAGCATTCAGTTTGAAAAAACATTTAAATGGGTTTTTCTAATTCATGCAAGGACCAAAGAACCAAGAGCAAAAATTCTCAAGACTAAGTACTATACATTTTATTTTCTCTCAAAGTGACTGTTTCTGCCATTACATTTTGTGTAGGTTAGGGTATTTGGCTTGCTTCTTAATATTAGATGACAAAAGATAACAGGTGTTTTAGTTTAATAAACATTTATTCCTTTAGTTGAACAACTTCTAACACACAAAGTATATATATGGTTTAGGATCTCTTTTTGAGTGGAAACGAATTTAGGTCTCAAGAGGTTTTGAGCCTTTTTCTGGCAATCATTTAACTGAGCCTAAGACCCCTGAAAAAAATATAAAAACTGGTTCAAGGAAACCAGCAATTCGATTTTGAAATCAAACTATGGATTAAGTCAGCAATCTTAAAGTTGGGGCAATTCCTCTATTTCCTACAGACTCAAAATTCATCCTGGAGAACAGAAACCTCTTTACTGCAAAGACAGAATGGAAACAGTATAGTGGTATACTTAACATCAAGGTGGCACAATTGATGGGCTGGCAAGTTTATGGAATGGCAAAGATTTTGAGGAGTTTGAGTAAGGATGAGAAAAATGACTGTGGATAACACATGTAAGGATTAGATTGGAAACCATAGACTTGTATGGACACCAACTACATGACTATTCTCAATAGCCTATGGGAATGCCTAAGTGGGTTGACCCAAGATGACTTAGGACTTGGAACGAGCAATGATGTACTTTTAAAGCCAACCCTATTTTTCCCCCTAAGGTGGCTAGTGGATTCATAATGGTCACAAAGACCATGGATAAAGTATTTAAAATTCTAATCAAAGCCAACTTTTTTATCCTCACACTTAAAAGGTTATATGATGGCCACCAGTTTCCCAATTCTAACATTGGTTACTAGCTTACAAATCAGTCTTCTCATTCACCTAATGTCCAATTTCCGTTAAGTTTTCATATACACCAGAGTAAACACCATTAACTGACTGCTTTGTAGGAAATTCAGTATTCTACAGATCCCATGGAGTCATGGGATATAATCAGGAGCCTCTACATTTTATGTTAACTTCAATATAATTTCGAACTCCAATACTGTGGAGACGAAGGCAATTTTGCTTCAGTTAAGCAGGATTTATTTTCATTTTTAAGACAACCCTCCTGTATCGGGTAGGTTGATTCAATTCTCTTGAAAAAAATGGTGGCATTCTTTTAAAGTATTCTTTCCAAAGCCGTAGTTACATAAATGAATACTGGATTCAACCTGAAATTGTGGTTCCTACTTAACACTGTTCTGCATATGATCATGATTAAAGATTAGGATCTTCTTCACACTTCCAAGCAAAATCCCGTTTAAAAAGCTTGTTCTTTCCAAACCCCTAATAACAGCTATTTGAGAGTAAACCAGAGCATTACATCACCCCAACGAAGCTGCAGGTTTCATTACATGCAACAAATCTACACGGCTAGCTTCTGCATTCCACGTTTACAGATTTTACACCTATTATACCAAACAGCACTTTAAACACTGACATATAAACTCCCTAATAAGATAAAGCAAAGACAAAAGTGTTTATCTTATTAGAAACAAGATACACCATCACTTAAAGTCTTCAAACATTATTGCACTTTAACTTTCATAATTTGACAATGCATTCATGGAACAATCTGCAGACAACTAAATTTAACAGACAAATTAAAGAACACTTTTAAGCAGACATGACTGTCCTAAATTGTTTATTAGGTAAAATTTTTACAAACATTACTTATATTAGCGGTAACGGTGGAGCTGGAGAGTATTGCGTCTTCTCCATGCCGCACGGCGAGAACCACCAATAGTGTGGTGGAACTTGTGACCCTTTCCAAGGCCACGACTCTTGCGGCCTGCAGATGTCAGCCCTCGCATTTCCCTGTGCTTGTGGACTGGTTTGGTGATCCACTGGGTGTCAGGATTTCTTCTGATAGCTTTATGGAATGGATCAATGAGGATGACCTCAAAGAATTTGTACGTGGAATCTTCGCCAACCCAGTAAGAATTCAAGACTCTCAGAGCCCCACAGTGGCGCCCAGCTCGCTCCTGGAACAGGAAAAAAGGCCCAAGGTCAGCCTCCATCTCCCATAGAAGGAAATTAGGAAGTAAGAATTCCCTTTAGTTTACCACACTAGACAAGAGACTAAGGTCGTTCACTTAACTACCTCAGTAGTTGTAAGCATCTTCCCAGAGGCTAGGACCCCAAATATGATAAGACTTACTACAGTAATACATGAAACATGCTCTGATTTGAAACCATTACCTATTATCACCCCCTTCCCGACCAAGGCACAAATGTTAGTATCTTACAAAATTTAAGAACCTAGTCCTTTTCTAATACAACTGAGGGATCAGCAAATTTCATACAAAACTTTAATACTACTTAGCATATTATTTTAGGCTTTGCAGGCCACAATAGTCTCCCCTTAGTTTAAGTCGTCTTTGCCTTTTAAGAACAAAAATAAAACATTTTTAGTTTACAGAAGGCAACAAACCCTTGTTTGCCAACCTATGGGACAGCGCACAGCTTCATTTACTAACCCAGAAAGACAACTTACAACTGAACATTGAAAATTAGCCATATGAATAAATGCAGCTTCTGTACACCTGGGGAGATGTGCTCTTCAAGACAAGTTTACTGCCCTTCAAAAGCTTAGGTTCCAAGGTTCACACTAACCATGAAACACTTTTCATTATTCACAAGCAAAGCCAAATTAGTAACAAAGACTAAGACTTTGACAGCAACACTTTACTAAGTAAACGATGAAGTAAAAAATCACAAACCCCATTTTAAACACAACAGGGCTCACGTAGGTACGAGTTAACCAAAAAAGTGCTCAAATCCTTCTCCACCATCTCCAGGAGGCGACAGATACAACTGTTACCGAAAAATCACTTACCTCTGCAACAGACTGAAGGCTTCGCGCAAACTTTAGCTGGTTAACACCATGATGGACAGGCTTGCCGTAGGTAGCCCCCTTAGGAACTGGGCGTTTGCGACCACCACGACGCACACGAATCCGATATATGACATAACCTATACAAATTTACAGTGGTCTTATAAAAGCTGTACGCATCAAGACTCAGTAACTTGCTACTAAATGCTGCAATGTCGAATATACTCTGGACTATAAGCCAAATACTATATATCTGAAGGTAAAATAAATACCCATTTAAGACCTACTCTAAAAAGAAACACATTCCAGTGTTTTTCAAAGTACTTTATGACACAGGAAGAGTAACTTCTCATTTCCACTCTACACTGAGGTATTGGGGCCATAGCACCTCTAATTAACAGTTTTCTAGCATTTCCCCAGGAACACAATTTTGTCCAAGCATCCATGCAGAGACCACTCACCTTGCTTGGCCTTGTACCCCAGCCTGCGCGCTTTATCGGGCCGGGTTGGGCGGGGAGCCCTGTGGAGCGCAGAGAGCTGGCGGTACTGCCAGCAGCGCACCCTGAGAAGAAAGCGCATTACATCGGACTGCTTCTTCCTCCATAGCTCCTGGATGTACTTGTAAGCACCCATCTTGGCCTACCTTTGAGCTAAAGAAACATCATGCGTTTAAAAGGAGACGATCGCGCCCGTCCATCTTAGTTCCCCACCAGCCACAAGGAAACCACTGAGGCTGAAAATGGCTCTCCAGAACTGCAGGGAATAGCTGCACCCTAGGAAAGCGGCGCTGTCACCTCTGCGACCCCAGCGCGCAGCAGCGCAGGGAGGGTCTCGGCACATTTTTGTTGGATGAATGAATGGCGCTAGACTTGGGTACTGAGGAGGGCTGCTGAATGAGGCCGGCGGCGTCCCTAAGGGTCTGGCCTGCAGAGACCTCGCCGATACCATTAGAGAAAGGTGCTGTAGCAGTTATCCCCGAAGGATAACTTTCGAGGAAAAAATCCCTTATTGCACCCAATCCGCAGGCCTCGCTTTAGGACACTCTAGGCCCGGCCTTCCATCCCTCAGCCCCATGCTTCCTTTTCCTTCACGCTCCAGGGCCCGCTCGAATTCGCGCCGCCATCACATCACCACCCTAGCCCGCCCCGGGGGCCGCCTCTCCACGCCCTAGCAGCCTCGCATCCTGTTCGAACTCGCGCCGCACAGGAGGCAGGGGGAGCTCCGAGGACGCAGGGTCCCCGAGTCTGGATGGCTGAGGCGAAGGGAGATGAGCGGCGGATGCAGCAGCGCATTCCACCAACACAGCCTACCTGATGGCTGCCGCCGGACGGAAAGGAAAGAGCCTTTCTCCCACAATCCTTTTTGGGCTCCTCCCCCACAGCGGCGAGCCTCTTTCCGGTGCAAAGCTGCGGCTCCCACGGCCTCATGGGACATGTAGTTCCGGCAGGGAGACTGGTGGGCGGAGTTCGGCCCGGATTGGGCGCAGCCTCCCCTATTATCCCGCCCCCCGGCTCTCAGGATTTGAGTTTGAGAGGCAGGGGCGGCTCAAAGGGCGAGAGTCCTCGGCCAGGCCTCGGCGGGCGAGCGTCCAGGGCCGTCCTGCAGGCGGGAGGAGGCAAGTTGGGGGCGGGGCTCAGGTGGCCGAAGCCGGTCGTGGAGCCGCTCTGCCAGAGTACCGCTGTCTTAGGAGCCTGTGGAGGTGTCCAGGTCTGTGTCTTGAGGTACAGGGAACCGCTTCACGCACCGCGGTCTCCTCACCTGAGGAGTCGCGGCGGGTTCCCCAGTGCGGCGCTGTCCGTCCCCCTTAGCCCACCAGACTGGACCCGGAGACGCTCTGACAGACCCTCGCGACGCTGCCCCAGCAGCCAAATAAGACGTTCGTGCTGCCGGGGCTTCGCGGGGGGTAGGGCGCCATGCCTTCGGGCTTCAGCCTCCGCAGGCCCCGCTCCGCGGGATTTTACCCTAAAGAGGGGTCGGAGGGTGGGGAACTGGGGGGCTAGAGAGGGGAGCGCGGGCGGCTCGGCGCCTTTTCATTTCCGTGCCTTTCCTGCGCACCGACTTGGTCCCAGGTTTGCTACGTCAGAACCAGTTTTTTTTAGAAAGGCAAAATATTTTTGTGCCAAGACCTGGTTATCAGGTACGAGTGTTTTGGGAAGAAATGCCGAGAAAATGCTGGCGTTTTGTGTTGAGTTCTTTATTGAAAAATAGTTTGTTCTTTGCGTCTCCAGAATATTTTCATTTTTGACGCAGTCATGTAGTTTACCTTCTAACTTATTACCGGTTTTGGTTTTCTCTCCTTATTTCCTATTTTCCTTTTTTTTTTTTTTTAAATCGTAGCTTTATCATTCCAGGAGTCCTCACAAGGTTCATTGATTTATTCAGGAAATATCTATGAAATGCCTAATATGTGCCAGGTAGTGTCCCAGCTGCTGGGGATGCAGCAATAGTGAACGGGCAATAAACATGAATAAGATATATATTATGTTCGGTAAAAAGTACTAAAGACAAGCATGAAGGGGAGGGAAAGGATAGTGAGTGTTGGGGTGGGGGGGGTCAAAATTTTGGATGGAATATTCAGGATTAGTCTTCTTGAGACATAACATTTGAGAAAAATCCCGAAGGATGTGAGCCTTGGAGATTTGGACTGATTTCAATCAAAAGGAAAATAGGCTGGAGTATGCCTGGATTCCAAGGAGGCTGTGTGGCAGGAAACGAGCAGATGACATCAGAGAGGTGAAGTGTTCCTAGGGAGGACTTTGGGTTTTCACACTGCCAGAGATCAAAAGCTATTGGAAGATTTTAAGCAGAAGGGTGACTTTCTGACTTACATTTTTTAAAGGATTATCTGGATTGCAGTTTTGAGGCCAAAAGAAGGGGAAAAATTGAAGCAGAGAGACTAGGAAGTTGTATTAGTTCTTTTTGCTAGTAATAGCAAACTTACTGGCTTAAAATAACACAAATTTGGGGCACCTGGGTGGCTCAGTTGGTTAGGCGACTGCCTTCGGCTCAGGTCATGATCCAGGAGTCCCAGGATCGAGTCCCGCATCGGACTCCCTGCTCAGGAGGGAGTCTGCTTCGCCCTCTGACCCCCCCCCCCCCTCGTACTTCCTCTCTCTGTCTCATTCTCTCTCTCAAATGGGTAAATAAAATCTTAAAAAAAAAAAAAAGTAACAAATTTGTTGTCTTACACAGGTCAGAAATCTCAGTAGGCTAAAATTAGATTGCTGTGTTCCTTTTAGAGAAGCTAGGGGAGAATCCATTTGCTTGCTTTTCCCAGCGGCCCCCCCCCCTTTTTTTTTAAGATTTTATTTATTTGAGTGGGGGTGAGGCACAAGAGCAGGGGGAGGAGCAGAGGGAGAGGGACCAGCCAGCTCCATGTTGGGTAGAGCCGGTGGAGGGGCCAATCCACTGACCCTGAGACCATGACCCTAGCCAAAACCAAGAGTCAGATGCTCAACCAACTGAGCCACTCAGGCGCCCCTGCTTTTTCCAGCTTTTAGAGGCCACCGGTATTCTTTGGCTCCTGATCCCTTCCTTTTCAAAGCTAGCAGTATAGCATCTTCTTATCTCTGTTTCTCTTTCTGACACACATCTCTCCTTCTTATAAAGATACATGTGATTACATTGGGTCTACCCAGATAATCCAGGATAGTCTCCCCATCTCAAGGATCTTAATTTAATCACAGCTGCAAAGTTCCTGTTACTGTGTCAAATAAAATACTCACAGGTTTTAGGGATTATCACATAGACCTCTTTGAGAGACCAGGTGAGAGAAGATGGTGCCTCTGATCACTTCATTAGTGGTGGAGGTGGTAAGTGATCCAGCCCTGGATGTGTTCTGAAGGTGGAGGCTTTACTGGTGGATCAGATGTGGGGTGTAAGAAAAATAAGTCAAGAATGATTGCTATAAAAAATTAATTAAAAAAGGGTGCCTGGCTGGCTCAGTTGATGGAGCATGCGATCTTGATTTCAGGGTCATGAGTTTGAACTCCCAAGTTGGGCGTAGAGATTACTTTAAAAGAATAACTACAGGGGCGCCTGAGTGGCTCAGTCTTTAAGCATCTGTCTTCAGCTCAGGTCATGATCCCAGGGTCCTGGGATTGAGCCTCGCATCGGGCTCCCTGCTTGGTGGGAAGCCTGCTTCTCCCTCTCCCACTCCCCCTGCTTGTGTTCCCGCTCTCGCTGTGTCTGTCAAAAAAAAAAAAATAACTACAAAGTTGGATGAATCATTTGGAAAGGAGTTCTGGCAATGCAAATAATCACTGCTAATTTCTTAATTAGTTTTTGCAGTTTTGTTTCTTCATTTGCTATTTACAGTTGCTCAGTAGTTTTGCAAGATTTGGATTGGTATTTCCAATTGATTCTGAGATTCCTGAGAGCAGATATCATTTCTGTTTGCCCCCCTGGTTTTGTCCCTCATGCTTGGCATTATGGTAAGACTTCAGTAAATACTTAATGATTAAAAGAATGGTAAGCTGGAATCTGCTCATTATATTTTATTGTGTGCAATATTGTTTACAAAACCTTTTATATGTAAAATTATTCATATATAGATAAGTAAAAGTGTTGCACACAGTACCTGATGTTTGCATAAATAAATACACAGTGTCTAAGTTTTCTCCATGCGGGGCTTCATAATATGATCTATAACATCTCTCTATGATGTTAAGTGTTAACAGTATTACTGTTGTTTTAGTAGCATAAAAACAGTTGTGCTTTACTTATAAAAGTAGAATGATTTGGGGCGCCTGGGTGGCTCAGTCATTAAGCGTCTGCCTTCGACTCAGGTCATGATCCCAGGCGTCAGGCTCCCTGCTCCACGGGAAGACTGCTTCTCCCTCTCCCACTCCCCCTGCTTGTGTTCCCTCTCTCGCTGTCTCTCTCTGTCAAATAAATAAAATCTTAAAACAAAAAAAAGTAGAATGATTTCCTTAGAAAAACAGAAGTACTGACAGTTTTGGCAACTGTTTCTGATAGCTCTTTAAGGGGATTATTGACTAAGCTCAGTGTTTTCCACAGGAATGGATCAAATCGTGTTTTTATTCTGTAGAAACATTATTGATTAGCCTGGAAAGCAAAGCAATATGCAGTTAAGACTGCATTGGATTTTGCCTGTTAAGCCTGTTCTCTCAAATCATTTATATCAGATGAGGATTAATAGGTCACAGATTGAATTTTATTGTACAGCAGTTACTTAGAGTAGGGACTCTACCAAGTAGTTCTAACTAGTGCTTTACATTAGATACTAACTGGGGTGCCTGGGTAGCTCAGTCAGTTAAGTGTCTACTCTTCAGCCCAGGTCTTGATCTCAGGGTTATGAGTTCAAGCCCTGCATTGGGCTCAATGCTGGGTGTGGAGCCTACTGAAAAACATTAGATACTATTTTTTAAAAGAATTAATACTTTAATTAGCAGGTCGCTAATCTTCAGCTTTAGGTAATATTATTGTTTCCCACTTGAAGACAAGAACCTAGAATGTTTTAGCTATGCTTTGACTAATCACATTTATCCTTTCATCTTTGTTTTGTTTTTGGTGGTGTAAAATATTTAACATGGATTATTCTGTTTTATCTTGCTTCTTTCCTTGTAAAATACCTTAAAATCCTTTTTTTTTTTAAAGATTTTATTTATTTATTTGACAGAAGAGACCCAGCGAGAGAGGGAACACAAGCAGGGGGAGGGGGAGAGGGAGAAGCAGGCTCCCCACGGAGCAGGGAGCCTGATGCGGGGCTCAATCCCAGGACCCTGGGATCATGACCTGAGCCGAAGGCAGATGCTTAACGACTGAGCCACCCAGGCACCCCAAATACCTTAAAATCCTTACTGAGTGTTTGAGTAACCTCTATTCAGTTATTTTTACTATTTGCCTTTGATGGAGATTCTCCTGATAGACTGAAACAACTCCCCCAGTTTATTTATACACACACATTCAAAGTAATGTATATTTTTAACACACTTCATCTGCTAATCCTAATATCAGTGAGTGATCAAAGTATAATTGTAGCATGCCACTTTTAAAGCAGATATATTAAGACCACTTCCAAAGACTGGAGTAGTTGATTTCTGGATTTCTTAAGATTCTGTTGGTTTCAGCATTTTCCCAGTTTGCTTCAGTCCCCAGGAGTCATATTTGCCTCCCTTTTATGGGGAGTCTATTGCTATTAATAACTGAGGTGTTTTTTCTTTTAACTATCTGGTTCACTTAACTACAACATGTACCTACCCTTTTAAAGCACTTGTGTTTATTTGAAGATTGATATAATGTAAAGGCACGTTTTTTTGATTGAAAGGAAGAGGAGAGAAGGGAAGGTATTTAGAAATTCTGCTGGGACTAAGACATTTTTGGAGGAAGGGAAATAACAATAGAAAATTAGAATTTAGATTCCAGTAGCAACCTTTTCTGACAACAGAATTGTTCTGTGCTGCCAACATTTTTCTTATCCTCTGACAGATTTCTTTTTCATC